CCCCCCCCCCCCACCCCCCCTGTCGTGTACGACGATTGTGTGTGGTCGCCCCACCTGCTCTAGGAGTAAACCTTTTCACTTTTCGTCCTATACTTGAAAGCATCAGCTGGAGGGGTCACACGGGCGGGAAGACCAGCCAGCACTGTTCACATTTTTTTCTCTCAACCTGTTGCTCCTCCACTGCTTTCCTTCGCCTTCACGCACCTTGTTGAGCACAACCATTGGTCGAAGACCCGCCGCGAGAGCTTTGGTCAACACGAACTGCGCACATGCAAGCGCAAGGGTGAAAAAAATCAAGCACGAGACGGAACCATAGTGAGGAACGCGGTGAGGCGGTCTTCAGGGCTACGGAAACGACGAAGCCCCGAAGGTCAAGCGGATCGTACATGGTACATGTGTGGCGCGGTACAAAAATCCATGTGCATACACGTCCCTGCATTGCAACCCGGCGCCGAGTCAAACTCCGACGAGGGTCTGCTGCGCTCTGCCGCAAATGCACATAGGGTAGAATCACTCTTTGATACCTTCACAATCAATACACGCAGGAACGCGTCCCTTGGACACAATGTACACAAGAAATATGGACGACGAAGAAGCCGCGTGCGGCTGCCCCCGAAAGCAGGGGCCAGGGGACACCGCGAGTCCCACGCCGGATGTCCGAGAAGCAAATACCCTCTGCGGTACGCTCTCGTCCACCACCGGTCTACTCCAGAAAATCCCTTCCCTCCCCACAGTCCCCCGAACATGGAAAAGGAAAAACCTCGCAACCGAACTCAAACAGACGCGGCTTGTGCCGAATAAACGTGTCACAGGAAGACTTGGGGGGGGAAACCAACATCCAAAACCAACAGCCCCCCAAGGCAGAGGGAGTGCGAGAGATGCGGTCTCACTTTTGTCTGGCTCATGGGCCCCTCTGTCGCGTCCCCCCCCAGCAGTACGGCGTCCACCATGGACAGCACACGCTCCACCTCCCCCTGCAAAACCGTTATTGTTGCGCCCCCCCCCCCCCCCCCCCCGAGAAATGCGGCGGAAAGCGGGTTGCGATGAACTCGCAGCACTCCCGGCGAGGCAAGAGGATGGGTACAAAAAAAAGCACGGGCCACTATTATTAACAAACGTTTCGGTAATTCGCCTGCGTCGCGGACAGCGCGCGAGCCCTCCCGTTCGCCTGGATTGCGCGCGAGACGGAAGCCTGAAAGCATTGCTGCCGCGGGGGTGCGTGAGCTTTTGCGTCGAAACTCGGGCTGGCCCCCGAGAGCACAAACTTCTGTAACTTCTGTTTAGAGATAGTACGTGGAGCTGGGCACGGACCCATGGCCGATTCTAGGGATTCATTGGTAGGGCCTTGAGAGGGTACAGAATGCACCGTTGTGTAATGGCCGACAAGTTGGAGCCCTCTCGCTCACGGGAGAGGGCTCGGTGCCATCGCCTCTTCTCTGTGTGCTCTGGGAGTCGCTCGATGTGAAAACGGGTCTGCGCGTCAACTGCTTCTTGGTCCCTTCCTGGCGTGATCAATGCACACGGGCCCCTGAGATTGTTCCAACCCTATCGTCGAAGAAAGCCTCCGGGGGAACGGCGGCAAAAACACGCGCCCTGTCGCGGCCTCAAACAGCCCACGGAAAGCACAACACTCGTAGCAACAAAAGCCAGGGTACCTGCGGGCACAAAAGCAGCACGCTTGGAGGCATTCGCTCACCCCGAAATCGGCGTGGCCCGGTGTGTCCACGACGTTGAGGACGTGGTTCCCCCAACTGAGTCTCGTGACTTTGCTCATGATGGTGATCCCGCGCTCTCGCTCCAGGTCATTGCTGCTCGGGTTCAAACATACACGCGCATGATCGAGACCTCAACTCACCCGACACAAAGGACATTGTCATCTGATCTGACATACCGATGGTCGAGCTGGAGCTCTCCCGACGTAGCCACATACCGTAAGGATGCGAGAAAACGCACGGGGGTGCGGTCGATACTAAAAAAAGTGTTCCTTGACAATTTTACCCCACCCCCGTGCGATATCACCAGTACGTGCGATACTGTGTAAACAATAAACCCTACAGCAGCAGTACGGTAGTCCCGTGGGTGCTTCCGACGCATACCCCCGGGCTACAACTCCGATACTTGCGATACCCAACATGTCACGGCCGTACTGCATAACACGCACCAGATCGGTGCTACAGTAGCACACACCGAACACAGAGAAAACACACATTCTGCACATCATATGTACCATACGAGACGCGGCGGGATTAAACTTTGACATGTAAGCCAACGCCCCCTCCGATGTCGGAGAGTCTGGCAGAGCCCCGGAGCCACTCGTGGCTCGGTATAGGTGATATCGCCCCGTGCGATAATCGAATGAAGTCACTTGGTTCTTGTTTTTTTTTATCGCACGGGGGTGCGACATCACCGGTATTTGTGATACCACCGAACCGTGCACTCTCTCGCATCCTTACGGCATTAAGCAACGCGCAGTTGCGGTTTGCGGGTGACAATAAGCACGATTTACGTAGCCCAAGTATGCCGCAAAGGCTCCGAGGTCATCGCAAGCACCAAGCGCCAACACGAAGGCGAGGAAATAATGCACACGAGAAACGGGGGCGAGACAGGAAACAATGCGGACCGTCACAAGCGGTTGGAAGAGGACGGACGCTCACTTGTCAAGCAGGCGGTCGACACCTCCGCCGTCTTTGCCCTCGGTGCTGCACGCCTGGAGCAGCTTGTCCACCAGCGTGGTCTTACCGTGATCTGCGTGACGGCGCAAAACACACGGGCCGAAAAAATATAAAAGGAAACCGAACTCCATATTCAGACTTCGTCGCGTACGAGCGATGAGAGCCTTCTCCTCTATTTCAGCCTGTGGCAGCGCCCTAAAGCTGTAGGGGGCTGTTCTGCAGGCGTGTCCGAATGTCCGTGTCTGTACGGTGGAACGCAAAGAATTCGTCCGTAACAACGAGGGGCTTTCCGTCGCAATCCGAATAAGACTAGCAGAAAAAATACCGGCGAACACGCAGCAGCGCACAACACAACAGCAGCAAAAAGGGGAGCGCATGGCGCAACATGCATCATTTAACCGTCTCCCGTAGCAACCTAGCAAGACATGCATGCAGCTGTACCACATGTCATTTTGCCAGAAACTCTAACTTCGATTTTCGAGAACGTGCATGAACTTGCCACCAAAGGGGCACGCGTGGATATGAGGTGCCACACGGCTGACCAACGGCAGCGAAACCAGGCCCGAACACCTTCGCGCACTCGTTCTGCTGTTGGGTCTAGTAGTGGCACCCTCTCTCCGTGGTGTTGTTGTCGCTCTTTGATGAGCGCCACCACACAGACAGACAAGAGCAAGAGTCGTATTTTTCGGGTCTAGCTTTCCTGCACGCGTCATCAAACCCCAAAATTGACGGGTGCATTGCACCAGCATCTAACCGTAGTACCTTGCCCCAAAATATCCCTGGCCCAGCAAAATACTCAAAGGTGTCGCACCATTATCCAACCACGTAGTTACAGTAACTTGCCTCCTTCATCCCTGGCGCAGCAAAATGTAAAAAGGGACAGCAATTCTGACAATAGAGTGGGGTCTTGCCAGGCTTGCTGCGTGAACATGAACGAAACCTTCGGAAATGAAAAAAGATTATCACCCAACAGATCGCTTCCAAACGCTACATATCACCTCTAGACTAGTGGAAGACATGGCCAGAGTCCCAAACCGAAACAGTCCCGGATATCATCAATACACGAGTCCGCAGCGGCAGCGAGAAAGATATCACTGCTGTGCCTTCCAACTAAATCTAAGCGGCCCGTATGTCCAAAAGTTGACTAGCGTAATTGATGTACAGGAAGTGCTGTTGCAGACGCACGGCTGATGTTCGCGGGTCGTTCCAATGGGAACCTGGTGGCGCAGCGCAGCTTCCGTCATTACTACCGTCGGCGATCGAGGCACATGGTCGGCGACATCAGGTCGAAACCAATTGGAGAACCCTCGTGCGATGGCAATAGATTGTTTGATCAGTGGTTTGCTGCATTCTGTATGCAGGTGATGTGCTATGCCACCTATTGTACACATTACACATTGCTCTCTTCGTGTGTTTGCTTCTACACATAAGAGCGATGGAGTGGTCTGAACCGGGCGCGGTCTGCTCTTAAAAGTCTTTCTCAGGCTGCCGCCCTGCAAGTTGCTGCAGGCACTGCTTGAGTACTCGCCAAGTGTGGCAATGACGTGTGGCGGTACGTACTTGGTGCGGAGGGCATTGGCGACAAGCGTAGGGTGTGCGGAGTTGTTCCTTGCAAGACACAGTATGTACAACGTACAACAATCGCACACCAATTTGAACACAGCGTGCGCAGCAGTCGCCATGTGGAACAAAGGCTGTTCAAACCTATATCCACACTACCACTACCGAAGCAGGAACTTAATGTAGTTCTGATTCCTTATCCTCACACAGCCAAACAACCTCTACTCTCTCTCTCTCTCGCTTCGTAGCCTGCTTGGAAAACTTGCCTACGTGAGCGATGATGGCGATGTTGCGGATGTCGTGGGGTTGCGCGGCAATGTCCGGCGCAGCGGCATCCTCCGACGTCGACAGCAGTCGGTGTGCTCGCGTCCTCCATCGCGTGACCGTGTCAAGGGACCCACGTATTGAACCTCTTCTACTACATCGTCCTGGTACTGAGGAGTGCAAGACACGGCGGCAGGAACGTGAGAGCAGCATCGTGTGGCGTCGGGTGTGGACGCGTGTTGTTGTGTTGTGCACTTTGTGACGACACGCGCATGGGGCTCCGCAGAATCAAGAGTTCTCTTTAAGAACCAGTTCCGGGTTGCCATTCGCGGAATCAACCCGTTAGGCCGTCAGGCCTCGCGTCAGGGAGAGCGTCAGGGCAAGTCTGCATTTGGACGCCGCCGTGTTCGATCATTTTAACATGTGGGAAACATGGATTGGTTAAAATGGATACACTGACGCCAGCTGTAGAGGGATCACAGAAAGGAACACAAGAACTAGAGTAATGGATCCCGCTCGACGAAGAACAGCGGTCTCGCATGGTCGCATCGCTGCTTCGCGCATCCTACATTAGTTTGCAACGACGCTGAATTCGTGACATGGCACTGGTCGGAGGAAATATATTTTCTAGAACAGTAGGCTATCTCCAAAAACAGTTTTGTGCGCCTGCGGCAATGTAGTACTGTCTACTTGTGTGCATCGCACGCACACACATAGAGAAAACCCCCGTGGCGAATATCGTACGGAATGTAGAAACAACTGCTCAACCGGCAATATCCCAATGTAAGGATACGAAATATGGCACCGGGTGCTATCGAATTTTTTTTATACTTCTTGCCTTTTATTTCGCACCCCCATCTCTGTGATGCTCCAAGCGCACAAGTAATGGAGCCGTCGGAGCAGAACTGGGGATCCCTAGAATCGGGAAGAGACCCAAGAAAGCTAAAATGGCAGTATCGCTTATGCGATAAGGGAGAGGAGAGGTTGCCGAGAATAGCTTGGGAGGCGAAATGGGCAAACGAGAAGAGGGGTAGACAACCCAGGGAGTGGGCCAAGGTTGAAGATGACGTATGGAAGGAGTTCCAAATTGACGAAGGTGATACGCTGGGAAACAGAAGAGGTCTAGAAGGGTGCAACGAGATATGTGTTGAAGAACATAATCTATGTAGCCACCGAAGCCAAGGATAAGGAGGGCCTAGATGTGTACGAATGTTGAAAGAAGGAATAGGGTTCAAGGAGTACCTAGATGGACCAATGGATGAAGGGACAAACTGAAGGTCAAACTCAGGATCGGGGACATTGGCCTTCGAGAACGTAGCCGAAGACTTCGGAAGGGAGACGACTAAGATGCCAAGTTCAAAGGTGATTGCGGCTCCGAGTACGAAGACCGGGTTCGTGTAGTCGGTTGTACAAGAAGGAGAGAAAGTGTACATGAGCTGGGAAGGTAGAAGGAAGGTTCAGGGAGATGTTTGAGGCATGGAATAGCCAGGAGAAGACGGTAGCTGTACTGGTGTACTGGGGCATCGGCAGTGGGTTGAAAAGGCGGGCAGTGATGTCGGTAGGATAGATCGACTAGGGACAGCATTTTTGAGCCACCTTTGGCAAAGTAAGAAGGAACGATTGGCCATCGGTGATCGGTACAGTAGGAACAATGCTCGAGGACGCGTGCTCAATGGTCTATCGACTAAGGCATGCAAAGCATAAGAATACCACCATCCCCATCTCTCCTCCCCCTCGGTGATTGTCATAGGGGTTGGGTTTTCGTCGCTTGGCAACGACGTTGTAAAACAAGCCGATCACTTCGTGAGCTCGGCAACCAGGCTACCTACCGCTTGTTATTGCTTGTCTCTGATTTTGTTGGGGGGGTTAACCATAATGGTGGTCAAGTAGATTATGTTGTGCGGGGTCGAGAACCCTCACTCCGCGCAAATGATCGCGCCACGTGTGTTAAATTAGTCAAGCACCCACGAAGCAGTTACACAGTGCTTCTAACTGTCCCCGGAAGTCAAAGCACCAGAAAATAAATTAAGTCATACGCAGTTGTCATCCGTACGCAAGGAAGTATGCACAAGATGCCGAATACCCCTAAATTTAGCAGGATGCAACTCACTCTTCATGCGACTCGCCCAATACCTCACGGTGCTTCGCGCGTGGCGATGTGAGAGCCTGGTCCGGTGAGAACCCGGCGTGCTCTGTCCCTTCTTTGTAGGGATGCGAGGTCAGTGGTCTAACGACTACGGCATGCACGACTACGAGTACACCCCCCCCCCATCTCTCCGACCGGTGCCATCTCTCCGACCGGGGCGATGCCCAAAAAACACACAGTGGCCTTCCTTACTGGTGCTACGGCGGTGCCGATACGCACACCCGGTGCCCCTTTCGGACTACGACAGTGTACTACGTCATACCACCATAACAACAGGCGTTTCGGTACAGTGTGCAGGTAGACGCATGCAGTACGTTCGGTACAGGAATCGCACATGGTTGACATGGCATGTGTTGTAAAAGGCACCCAGGCACCTCACTCAGTACAGCAGCTGAAAAATGGTCTGGGCCCACTGCCAAGCACTCGATCTTGGATTTGGGGTCGGAGAGATGTTTGCACCGGATGATACGATCTCTCCGACCCCGGTGCGGAAATACAAATACATCATGTCGTTGTTGCTTTTTTTTGCGAATCCCCGCCATTTCTCCGACCGGTTCCATCTCTCCGAACGGTAAACTTAGTCTATACTACTCTTCTTGGTGATAAGCTTGCAGCGGTAGCGCGTCGGGCTGAACAGCTTTGGAAAGGTTACCGCAGGTGCCCGCTGAATAGCAAGACGGCCTGCTAAATGCGAAAGATGGAAAATTGCCGCCGGGTGCTGTTACGCAACTCGGTGGCCCTCAGAAAAGGATGAGATAATAAGATGTCGATATTACAGGCTGACCCCAGGGCCTGGTTTTGATGGTGGAAGATGGGAGTGAGAGGGAGGGACGTGTGCGGCGCGCTCATCCTCGAAATCATGGAACCACACAATCAAAGCAACGCCAACCAATCACACGCGTCCAGAACTGGTAAGTAAGGCAGGGTACGCAAATTACTGATAAAAGATGAGATCATGTTGTCGAACCTACAATATATATATATTTTTTTTTTCTGGGAGATCTACAGAATAGAAAAACGCCGTATGTACATTCCTTGAAATGTCCCTTGTTTTCTGGATCCAACCATCCTATCTCTGGAACCTCGCTTTCCAGAACACAACGCTTCTGACAAACCCATCCATTGCTGCTGCTACGGATCAGCCTTGGACAAACTGCACACAGACCGCGTTGTTAATGATGGCGGTACACAGAAGCCCATGTTGCCGACAGCGAAGATAGAGGGGATAGGCAATCCTACCGTCAATTTAGGAATATGTATACAATATAACAACTCATTCTGGCGCAGCACGCCTCTTTCGTCCTATCGCATCGAACCGTGGCTAGCATAGGGCTGTATTGCTCGGTTACGGAGAATGACGTGGCGGAAAAATGGAAGGGGTTGCCCAAGAGGCGCCTCGGCGCCTCTGAATTGGATGGGTAGTTGTTCTTTTCGCTGCGCTGCGTACGGCGCGAGGTGAAACGCTCGACGTGCTGGCGAGGGCTGGGGTGTGGGCAGGTATGGCCGCGAACCTCGTCGTCGTGGCGTTGTTGTGGCGTTGTTGAGCTCAGATAATTCAGCTCCGGAGATGCAGAGCAAAGGGGTAGCCATAGAAAAGGGATGCTGAGCAAGACGAAATGCGTTCGTTTGACACCGGTGTCGCCTGGATTGAAATTCCAAGGAACACGCCCCGAGGAAAAGCGGGGCGAAGGCACGACCACGATTGCGTGGTCGTAGCTTTCGCGAGCCGAGAGAAATCGGCCGCGGTCAAGAAATTGCTTTAATAATAAGAGCCTTTATTAATAATAGCCCTTAATAGAAAAAATAAATGCGGTCAAGATTCCTTTTTGCATTTTATCCCCCATAAAAATAGCTGAAACCAATCCTATTTGGATTGGAACTTTTCTGTTCAGATGACTTGTAGCCGTATTGGATGCTCAAATAATTAAGAAAAATGAGAAAACGGGGCTAAGAAACACAGCTCAATCACGGCCACAACATAAGAAACGTCCCAGTAAGAAACAGGTTGATGGTGGATACTACCCCCAAGACATAAGAAACAAGGGGTAGCTGGGGAGAGGGTCCAATAGGAAACGTCCCACTGCTGCTGCTGCCATGCTCCCACCCCCTACCTGGCTCGTGTAATCTCTGCTAGAGGTGGACCAAGAGGAGGGAGTCAGGATTTCCTGGAGGGCAACAACCCTCAACGTTCGCCACACCGAGCTGTCCGTTTAGTGCTAAATGAAGGCCAGGTGTGTTGCTGTTTTCTTCGCGCGAAATAAGAAAACAAAAATCAGAGAATCAGCAGGATGCCACAGCCCAAGGAATAAGAAACCCGTTTTGGGATAATAATGGCCGACTCCGGTTGGTCCTTCTTCTGCCCAAAATAAGAAATCGAGGCTCGACCCGATTTTGACGTTTCTTATCTCTGGACCCATTCTGTATTGGCGAGGTGGCGGTAGGGCACGTCCGTCCTTTAAGACGCAATAATTTGACATTTCCAACTTTCTTACGTATTCCCTGGTTTGTGTATCATCCCTGGTTGACCATATGTTATGTGCTGCGGACGTACGATGCCACATGCTATCCACACACTACCAGCACACGTCACCGCAAATTGGGTTAGGGATGGGATGCCACCTCCTGCTGCGGGTTGCATGCCATCATGCCACCGTCTGCTGCCAATTAAACATCAAGAAGTATCCAATCAACCCCACCTCAAAACCGCCCGAATTGATGCTGTTCGGGCCCCTGCGACCCGTTCTTTGGTGCTGCACCCTCCTCGTGAAACTCAGCCAGTTCGGCATGTGCAAGTGTCACCTACTTTGTGTCACTGATTAGGAGACGCCAATTCCGCGAGACACTGGATGAACATGGGTGTAACCGAGAATGTTTACCATACGGGAGCAGCTATAGCTGTCTAGGGCTTGTACGTGTGCGGCGCGATCTTTGACGAAACCACGAGAAAATGTCTTCCCGGCAAAGGCCACTACCGGACAGCGAGGTGCGACTTGACCTACCTGTTGTATTCATTGGGCGCACGTTGCTTTTTGTAGCTTGTCTTCATTCCTTGGAATGGATCTACAGCAGCCAAAAACCCGACAAGAACCATCTCGACAAATTGTCCTGCGCGATGACACGATTTCCCACCGTCAAAATAGCTGGAAGGGGCAGAAACAACGAATAAAAAAAGTACCACCGCAGGCCAAATATACATGGTACACACGAGCACTCATCTGGAAATGCCCAACATATAAACAAAGCCGGCCGGCCAACAGACCGAAGGAAAACAACGACATCGCAAGGAATAGTAGACGGGTGTGGCCTCCGACCTTATCGAACACGAAGCAGTGCGAAAACATACAGAGTCGCCTTCCACTAAAGACTCCTTTCCAACACAGGGTCCCCATCTATCTGCATTCTCGGCGAAATGCGTGCATGCTCGTGAAAGTGGTGTCAAATGAGGCCCGGCGACAAGCCGCACTACGATTCCCGAACACAACACGCAATCCTTCTTCCCAGGAAGTTCCGTGTGTCGGCCGTTCTTTGTCTAGTATACCTCAGAAGAATGGCGCACTTCAAGAACGTCCAACCCGATGCAACTCGCAACATCCTTGCTTGCCAAAATGAAAAAAAAATAAAAACATCGGCATAGCACCGCATCTTTTCTCTCTCGTTCAATTGACAACACCCTTCGAAACACCAATTTGTCAAGAACAACCCGCGAAAGAAAGGGAAAAACATGAAACTGTAATGTATGCGCCTCACGAACACAACAGAACAAAAGCCGGGTCAGCCACATCCGGCAACGTACATATATCCTCCAATCTCCGAACACGAAGATCGGGCGCCGGGTATCTCGAATACAAGACTCAACACAACAATCGCTTACGATACGCAACTCCCGAATATTTCTACATTTGTCGGCATGCATGCAACCACACGGGACTTGTGGAATCAAGCTTGCTTGCTCCTTAATTTGCGTGACTCATGATATATAACCGCGGAGCAAAAACCAACATACGAACGGAAACAAAGGCACTTGTACGACGATGGGCCGGATGGCACACCGGGCACATGCGGGGGCTCCGTTCTTTCAAGAGCCAAAAAATTGGAACGACGAAACAATACAAGTGCATACCGAAAAAAATATGAAAAACAGTAACTCCCACGATACGGCCATGTACGCTGCTCCTTCCAAAAAATTAAATAACGCACCACAAGAAAATGACGAAGATGTGCAATGACCGTCTAGACTTTCATGCTGCCCGCCCCGAATTCTCCAACAAGGAATTCTGCTAGGGGGTATTTTCGTTCAAACAAAAATACCCCTTGTGCATAGTCACGTCTAACGCCACGAAAACTTCATGAAGAAAAGATTTTTGGGGTTGAATTGTCGAAATGTGTGTGCAGACGGCAGTCAGTTCTACAGGATCTAAACAGCGATCACAAGTAGTCAGCCAACCCTCTTTTCGCCGTGCCCTAGAAATGCACCAACGCCATCGAACCTACCAAAAAAAGTTCTTCGACAAAAAACAACAACCAGCCGTGGGAAGACGACAAACTCAAACCATCTCTTCCGGCGCCCGTGCGAGCCTCATTTTTCGGTGCTCTGCGCAACACGTAACCCCGTAAAGTCACTACTCGACGGAAACAAAGCGTCCTTGCTAGATACCAGCTGCAGATGTCGGAAGGTATCGCAAGTCTTCTTCGCCGAGCTAATCAGCTGGGCAAGACTAGGACGTCGTCTACTCGCCATGCGCCTCGCGAGGCGTAACAATCAAATGCGCGAACGGGACCCAGACAACAGGGCGGCGCGTTGCTTGTTGTCGTGGTCCCCGACACCCGGCCGGGAACCTTGTTGGAGAGCAACGACCTGCAAGAGCAGAGATACACGCCTATCCGCCAATCCCGCACAGCAAGTGAAAGGAAACAGAAAAACCTGGACAATTTCACACAAACAACAAAGGACACACAGGAAACGACCGAGAACCTCCTAGACCACACACCCACTAAAGATCACTCCCGTGTGTCATGTGCATCTCATCGCCCTCACGTGTCACCACAACACCTGATGGGTTTGAGATGAGCGCCCCCGAAGAGCGATCCAGAACCCTAAAATACAAATGAACCATGCCCTATTCGGATGCAAAGTAGAACACGATTCGCGGCGACCGGTCACCCCTAATTGCAGGAAACACGAGACCCCCACGAAAACATCGCCGACAAAAAAGCCGCTGGCCCACAACAACACAACCACCGGGCGTCAGGGTGCGAACCCGTTCTGCTACAACGAATACCGACACGCAAAGCTCACACACATACATACACACCAGCAACAGGAACCAAAGCACAACTGACTGTTAGTGAAACCATGAAACATACGATGCAACCGAACATAACGGTGCAGCGCGGCGCGTGACGGGGCGGGACGTACGCCCTCCACAGTACAGCAGTGCATTCGGAATTGCTCTGCGGCAGTAGTAGCACGCACTGCTGCTGCCGTTTTACCGACTCTCTTTCGCGTGTATCTATGATACGTCACGCGTTTCGACCAAGGGCAAGGTGTATCGAGAACACGCACGTCGCGCCCCCCCCCCCCCCCCCCCCCAAATAATTTTATAAACCTTTTAAAATTTAAAGTTTCCCCCCCAAGGGTGGAACCCTTTTTACGGATCTCAAATCCCCCCCCGTGAAGGGTGGGCTGGTCCAACAAAACCTCCCGACCAAAAACCCAAAAAAAATGGAACCCCAACCCAAAAAAAAAAAAAAAAATTCCTGGAAAAAAAAAGGGGCAAACCCAACAAAAGGTTTTCCAAAGAAACCGGGGGGTTCAAAAATTTTCATTGGTTTCGCCCTCCTTTTCCCAAAAAAGCCCCAATTTCTATTTCCTAATATTAACCAAAAAGGGGGGGGGGGGGGGGGGTTCCCAGCTTTCCCCC